GGTATACACAGTGCTCAGTGATTGCAAAACTCAATATAATAAAGATGTCAATCTTCCCCAAAGTTATCTATAGATTTAACCTGATTACTATCAAAATCCCAAAGGGATTTTTCACAGATATACACAAGTTGGCCCAGCATGGTGGCTCATGCCTGTAATCCCAGCACTTTGGGAGGTTGAGGCGAGAGGATCACTTGGGGCCAGGAGTTTGAGACCAACCTAGGCAACATTACGAGACCCAGCCTCTACAAAAAAAAAAAAAAATTAAAAATTAGCCAGGTGTGGTGGCACATGCCTGCAGTCTTAGCTACTTGGGAGGCTGAGGTGGGAGGATCATTTTAGCCCAAGAGTTTGAGGCTACAGTGAGCTACAATCACGTCACTGCACTCCAGTCTGGGCAAAAGCACTTGTTAGGGGGAGATAGAAGAGGAAAAGAAACTCTCAAAACTCAACAGTAAAAAAGACATAAAGATTCCATTAAAAGGCTTGGCACAGTGGCTCACACCTGTATTCCCAGCACTTTGGGATGCTGAGTTGAGAGGATCACTTGAGGCCAGGGGTTTGAGACAAGCCTGGGCAACATAGTGACACCCTATCTCTAAAAAAAATTAAAACATTAGTCAGGTATGATGGTGCACAACTGTGGTCCTGGGTACTCAGGAGGCTGAGGCAGGAGGATCACTTGAGTCCATGTCAAAGTTTCAGTGAGACATGATTGCGCCACTGTACTCAATCCGGGTGACAGAGTGAGACCCTGTCTCCAAAAAAAAAGTAAAAAATAGATTCCATTAGAAAATGAGCAATATATGAACAGAATTTCACCAAAAAGAATACGCAGATGGCAAAAAACATGTTCAACATCATTAGTCACTAAGAAATGCAAATTAAAACCACAATAAGCTAAGGTATCATTGTACACCTATACGAATGGCTAAAATAAAAAACAGTAATACCAAATGTTCACAAGGATGCGGAAAAAATGAATCTCTCATACAATGATGTTAGGAATATAAAATGGTAAGGCTCTGGAAATCATTCTGGCAATTTCCTATGAGACTAAACGTGTACTTATCATATGACCCTGCAAGTGCACTCTTGGGCATTTATCCGAGAGAAATGAAAACTTATAGTCACACAAAAACCTGCATGCTGATGTTCACAGCAGCTTTATCTGTAATTGCAAAACCAGGAAACAACCCAAATGTCCATCAAGTAGTAATTGGATAAAGAAATTCTGGTCTGCCCACCCAAGGGAATACTATTGAGCTGGAACAAACTACTGATACACACAACAACCCAGATGCAACTCAAAAAGATTACATTTGGTGAAGAACGTCAATCCCAAAAGACTACATAGTATAGGACTCTATTTATGTAACATTCTTGAAATTAGAAAATTTTAAAGATACAGAACAGATTAATCATTGCCAGGGAGCAAGGATGGGGCAGAGTGGGTATGATTATGAAGGGGAAGCACAAGGGAGGTCATTGAACAGTTTTATATCATGACTGTGGTGGTTGTTAAACCTATACATGGGATAAGACCACATAGAAAAACACACGCACATACAAATGCATGTAAAATGGTGAAAATTAGGTCTATATTCTAGTTAACAATCTTGTAATAATTTCCTGAATTTGATATTGTACTATAATAACATAAGGTGCCACCATTAGAGGAAGCATGGTTTCAGGTACATGGGACTCTATGTACTTTTGCAACTTCCTCGTGACTCTATAATTATTTTAAAATAATTTTTTAAAATAACTAGTGTGGGGCCGGGTGCGGTGGCTCATGCCTATAATCCCAGCACTTTAGGAGGCCAAAGTGGGCAGATCATTTCAGGTCAGGAGTTCGAGACCAGCCTGGCCAATATGATGAAACTGAGTGTCTAATAAAAATACAAAAATTAGTTGGGCATGGTGGCACATGCCTGTAATCGCAGCTACTCGGGAGGCTGAAGCACAAGAATGGCTTGAACTGGTGAGGTGGAGGTTGCAGTGAGCCGAGATCATGCCACTGCACTCCAGGCTTGGTGATAGAGCTAGACTCTGTCTCAAAAAAAAAACAAAAAACAAAAAAACTAGTGTGGGATTCCAGGGTGGCAGAAAGTAGCCTTAGCGAATTTCTTTGCTAGACTTGTTTTTCCTGTGTTAGCTGTCTTCTATGCACAGCTGGGGTAGTTTAAAAATTCCTCCTCCTTTCGACAAGTTTTACAAACAGTGCTAAAAAGAAGTGTATCAGTGCTTCTTTGTAAAAAGCATTATTATGTTTTCTTAAGTGAGTTATTTTAATATTTACAAATAAAAATTATATACACATGGTGAAAATATTAGTACTTTTAGACCCTAAAGAGCTTTTGCTAATGTAGGTTACAGAGCTATCAATATTTATTATATTAGAAATCAAAAGTGCAAATTTTTAAAATATGTATTAATGCATTTAAAATAATAAATCCACTGATTATTGTACATAAAATGTTATTAAAATAATTGCATTTTCATAAACAAAGATTTTAGGAATGTTTTACATTTCTGAAAATCTCTTAAATGTCTGCCTCAGTACAAGACAGCTAGATTCTCGTATTTGCTTCTGCATTTAATGTTGTAACATGCTGTTTTGGATAAATCATATGAAGACAAATCCAACCTCATGGAGATATGTAGTTGGAAAAAGGATTTCCCAGTCACTTGAAAGGGTCTCAGTCTCAGGTGTCTCCAGGACTCCTCACACCACACTTTAAGAACCAATATGTTAGAGAGACATATTGAAACATTTTCAGATAAAAAAAAGTCAGCAATTTGCATTAAAGTACTCCAAAACACACACACACATACACAGACACACACACACACACCCCCATGTACATATAGTTGATTCATTATTTGTGGCAGTTATATTCTATAAAGTCACCTTAACCAATGAATTACCAAATACCAAGCCACTGCTCCTAGTAGAAATACAGGTTTAGGTTCCTGGGAGCCTCTCATTGCATTCCTTAAAATGATCAATACACACAACCTTGTTTTATGTATGCTTCTGTCTAAAGACACCCTCTTTAATATATATTTCTTAAAATAATACATTATATGCAGTATTTTATAGTAAACCACTAGCCAAGAAGGGTTTAACATTTTCCTGATCCTGGGTTAACATAACCATAAATTTCTTTGGTTTTCAAAAGCCTCACAACCATGCTGTCCACTATGCTTTTTCTAATCAGTAGTTATCTCATGAATCTACAAATTTTGCTGCTTTTCCATTTATTCCATAGCTTCATCACACACTAAAGATGTTACTTTAGCACCATACAGAGTGTCTTCACACATAGATTGGCAAATTTCCCATTCCTTTTTCTGGATGTACTGTGTTGCTGATTTATTAACATTGAACTCACAGCAGACAGCGTTATAAATCATGCCTAATGGAAGCCTATCTAACACATGTATTTTCCCCTATAGGGAACATCACTGCCTTCTGGCTCTTAGAAACACTAGACGGTACTTCAGCACTATGATTGGGGGCCATTTTAAACAGTGAAATCACCAACAAAAGCCATAAAAATATCACTAAATCAACTATGAAAAGAACACTTACTTACAGTATGAGAGCAGAAACAAGAACATCGCCTTTTCTAACCTCAGCTGGGAATACTGAGTGCCTGACAACTAAATTGTTTTGCCACTCTGTGCAGGTCTATGAATGACTATTGAAAGCACTGCAAGTATCGATTTGGGGTTACAGATAAGTTTGAAGTAAGTGAACCTGCAAATATGCAATCTATGAATAATAAGAATCAACTTTTTATATATGTGTATATATAAAACTATATTTATATATATAAGAATCAACTATATATATAACTATATATATGTAGTTTTATTTATATATATAACACTACAGACACATATATATATCCACACAAATATGTGTGTGTGTGCCATTCAAATGATGAGCAGAAATTGTAATTGTTGAAGCTGGATGATAGGTATATGGGGATTCATTTCACTAGTCTAATTTTGTGTATGTTTGCAATTTTCCATAAGATAAAGTTTTGTAAAGTGGTTTATTTTGGACTGCATTGCATTTCCACTTTCTTTAATTCCTTACCAGCATGCAGAAGTCTGCAGCTGTCAAAGGTGAAGTTCAAGTGACATTTTGGGACAAACTGCCATCCACCACCAACCCAACCTACCACACATCCTCCTGGGGGGTACTAATCCAGTACGCACTCCCTGCTATAACAGGGACAGTGACAGGCAGAATTGTAACATCAATAGCTCTTTCTCTTGGAGAGAACCTCTGGGTCAGAGGCAATGGAACCCTGTATTATTTTGAGAGCCCACTGAGCCCAGACCAGCTGACTCTGTGGAAGTGTGGTTTTAACGTGCATGTATGGCTTTAGCAGAAGGTAACTTGGATTCTGGTCCAAGGGTGTGGATTCCAATCACTTAACTCCAGCCTGGGTTGAGTCAGCAGTCTAGAGAAAGGGCCTCAGTCAAACAATCCTTAGGAGATCCAGTACTGTCCAACTAACCTTCATATATTCTCTCCACTCTAGTACATGGATATGCTTGACATTTTTAAAGAACAGGAAGCAGGCAGACACTTCCTATTTTACAAGGTGAAGCATCCCACTATCCTTGTATGCAAGATCAGTCCCTCCAGCAGAGTTTTGCATCTCATCCTTTCCCTTACCTTCTCATAAACCTCATGCATCAGCCATCTCCTCTCTCTTCCCCATCTTCAACATTCTCTTTCTCCTAACTCTTCCCCATCAGCATATGCACACTCCCAAGTCTCTGTCATCTTCATAAAAATTCTCCCTCGATCTTATGTGACCCTCCCACTACATCAGATCTTTCCAAGTTTAACGGAAATATAACGTGCATGTATGGTTTCCACTACTTCAATGCCCAATGTTCCAGTAATATTCTGCTGTATAATAAACCACCCCAAAACTTGGGGCTTAAAACAATAATCATTTAATTATACTCACGACTGTGTGGGTGAGGAATGTGGGCAAAGCTCACTAGATAATTCTGCTGTCCCATGTGCCATCTACTGAGGTCACTCAGTGGTATCTAGCTGGCTGGCTAGGTTGTTTTGGAGGGACCAAGATGACTTCCTTTATATGTGTGGCGCATTGGTGGGGGTAACTGGAAAGCTGGGCTCAGCTGGGCTGTGCGCTCTCTCTCCATGTTGTCTCTGGACCTCTCCATTTGGTTTCTCCAGCAGGGCAGTCAGACTTCTTACATGGTTCCTGAGGGATCCAAAAGACCAAGGCAAAAGTTACAGGATTCTTAAAACCTATCCTTGGCAGTCAAGCAGCATTAATTCCCTGCATTCTTTCAGTTAAACTTTTGTACAGGGCCCACCAGATTCAACAGTAGAGGGACTACACAGAGGTACAGTTACTTGGAGGCTTGGTTGATAGGAGTCACATGTTACAGACTACCGCCCCCATGTACTCCTCAAACCGCTGCATTCCCCATCACTCCACTGAAATTGTAATCTTTGAGGTAAAGACAGATGTCTTAGTTGTTAAATCCAATAGATGCCTGTCAGTACTTGTTTTGCTTGTTTTTTTGTTTGTTTGTTTTTATTTGTTTTTGTTTTTTGTTTTTTGTTTTTGGAATTGGACCCTATTGACCACTAAATTCCTTCTTGAAATTCTCCTCCCCTAGCTTCTGTATATCACCTTTCCTTGTCTTTTCCTCAGTCTCCTAAAGTGACTTATTTCTTAGGCTCTCCCCTTATCTACTGGGCTTTGCTATCAGTTCTCTTCTCACTCTGCATATGCTACCTAGTTATATCAACTACACCTATAGCCTCATCTATCACTTAACTACTGGTGGTTCCTCAATATATATCTCCATCCCAGACTTCTCTCCAGTGATCCAGAATCTCATGTACTCACCTAGATGTCCAGCGGGTACTTCAAACAGCCAAAGCTTAATTCATCTTCCTTACACATGCTCTCTTCCTTGTCTTTTCTCTCCTGTATTTATCACCCGCCTAGATGCCCAAGGCTGAAACTTGGAAGTCATCCTTAACTCTACCATCTCTCCTATTATACTGAATACAGTTTGTCACTGATCCCCAACCATTCAGCTTGCTAAAAAGCTTGTCAATTTATCTATTCCTCTCCATCCTAAATACTAGGTCTCTGGCAGAGGACTAGATAGGGTCTCAGTTCATCATTCTGATCTGTAAACCATATAGAAATTAACATTTACTATAATAAACTCAAACACCTTTTTTTATAAAGCAGAGGTGATCTAGAGATATCAGGACAAGAGATATTTAATGAGTTAAACTCCACATGGGGAGAAGCACTCAAGTTGGTAGCAATGGGATGTTGCCTTTCGGTAACCTCTAGGGTGAGGTTACTTCAGTTCCTGGGAAGCCCCAAGTGGGGGCTTATTGGCTAATCAAGCTCCTTATACCCCTGAGCATGCCATCCTGAAACATCATCGCATTTAGTGTGATTATAAAAACTGCCTTAATTAAGCCTCATCATCTGGATCTCACATCCAGATTGTGTGTACAATTTCTTAATACATTGCCAGCACATCGTGGCTACACACACCACAGGTTATATCACAGTGACCAGACAGATTCTGGCTTCTAGTAAATGACCAAATAGCTCCTATCAAACCCATCCTCCTTCAGATGTAACAACTATACACTCTGGACAATTTGTTTTTTAATTACATGCAAGTATTGACAAGCAACCCAAGGCAGGCAGAAACTGGAGGACGATCTACATTTAAAAGAAGGGATCAAAACTAGATGAGATTCCCATTTTTAAGACTTTGAACCACAGGGTAGGCCCCAATCAGTTCCCTGATGGGTGAACCTTACTGACTTGAAGACAAGAGGACAGAGTTCAGAGTTTCCACAGCAGCTGAAAATTGTGGGGATAAAATCTTGGAATGGAGACAGCCAGATAGGCAGGGTCCTGAATTCTGTGTATAAACTCTACCCAAATCTCTGGCCGACCTCTGAATTACGCACTCATGGGACAGTCTCCAAACAGTCTGTATAAGACTAAAAGAACTGACTAGAGACTTCAGTTGCTGCCTGCCACAAGGGAGACAGAGCATGGAATTCGAGTTTAGTCACGTTAAATGCTGCTAAAACAAAAATGTCAATATTTTTCAGAGGGATATAATGGAATCCAGTTTCTCTAGAACATGTCCTCTGCAATATCCAGGAGACAAGTCAAAATGACTGAACATTGTTTGAGGAAAGTCAAAATGATTGAACATGTTTCCTATGGGAAACAGGAAAATGTAACCTATACCAAAGAAAAAAGGCAATCAATGAAGACTGACCCTGAGATGACTGACATGTTAGAATTAGCAGACAGGAATTTTTAACCAGCTATTATAATGATTCCCAAGGACACAGAGGAAAATATGCTCGTAATGAATAGTGACCAGCTGTACTGCAACCATGTAAAGATGAGCAGCCTATAGAGGTGGGTGGCTGGTTCACAGTCTAGAAGATAGAAGAGACTGGGAGTGGCAAGCCTGGCCAGGACCTACAGTACCCACCAACACTATCTTAGTTCAGATTCTCACTGTTTTTCATGTAGACCATTAAAACAGTCTCAAAAATTGCCTCCCTGCTTCTGGTTACTATTTACTATGACCCCCCCCAACACACACAGAGACCCTAAACACATCTACAGTGATTCCAGAATTACCTATTTGAACACAGGTTTAATTAGGACTTTACTGATTCCAAGTAACAGAAACACCATTTGGGCCAAAGAGTTAATTTACTGGAAGTTTCACATAATCATAAGTAGATGAGTGTCAAGGACAAGTACAATCAGAGACTCAAACATGAACAGGAATCTTTCAATTGCTCATCCTGTAAGTTCACTTCATTCTCTGAAACAAGTTTCCTCCCCGTGGCTGTAAAATGGGCCACCAGCAGTTTCTGGCCACATAATCTCCTAGCTGTGCCACAAAACCAAGAGGCAATATTTTCCCTCAATTAAATTTTTAAAATTCGAAGAAAAACATTCTGATTGTCCTGACCTAGACCACATGCCACACCTCAACCAACCAAATCAACTGTGGCCATGGAGACAGGTACTGTGATTGGAAGCTCTCACGAGCACTGAATGGCTGGACAGGAGAGGAGCAGCGCACCAGAGTCACAGAGGGGTTCATTTCCAGGGCAAAGGAAGGACTCTGGGAAAAGAAACTTTCCTTTTTTTTTTTTTTTTTTTAAATTTTTTTTATTATTATTATACTTTAAGTTGTAGGGTACATGTGCATAACGTGCAGGTTTGTTACATATGTATACTTGTGCCATGTTGGTGTGCTGCACCCATCAACTCGTCATTTACATCAGGTATAACTCCCAAATGATAAAGGTCTAACAGGTTTCCTGTGGTCACCACTTCAATTTGTGGCAATATCGTCCTCCATGCAAATGTCAGCGTCCTGGGATTTCTCTTACAGCAGAGACTTCTGTTGTTCCCCAATATCTGTTCTCCCCTTCCCCCTACCCAGTATTTTACTGCGTGAAACATAAATGCAATGACCAGAGGACAAGTGTCACATGGTGGAGATGATGGGACAGAAAGTCCATACGTTATTTTGGATGGCTAATAAGTCACAGCTGAACCTGATGCTAACTGACAACCTCCTCACTCCCTACATCTAATCAAGGCAAAACAACACTGAAGTTAAGAGTGTGGGTTACAGCCAAACCACCTGAGTTTGAATCTAGGCTCTGCCACTTACTAGTTCTGTTCAGCACATTACTTTATCTCTCTGTTCCTGCTTCCTTAGGCATAAAATGATGTTAATGTACCTCACAGGTTGGTTGTGAGAATTAAGATCATTCACGTAAGCACTTAGAACAGTGCTCAATGAGTATTAACTACCATTTTCAAGGCGTCTCAATTTTACCTACTAAAGATCTTGGAAGACAGTGTCTTCTTTCACAGCCCAAAAGTCACTTTACATCACTTCAATGAGCCATTGCCTCTTCCACAGCGTCCTCCACATTGCCTCAGCCTGAACTTTCTGAAACACCTTGATCTGACCATGTTACTCCTATTGGAAACCCCTCAATGATTCTTCCTTTCCTACAAAATAAAGCCTTAACTTCTTAGCCTGGTGACCAAGGTTCCTTGCATAAGGGCCCGAATGGCCTTTCTGGGCTCATCTCCTGCCACTCGTCCACGATGCCCCAAAGCCCAGTCACACTGAACTATTCTCTACCATCAACTTCCTACCTGCCTCTGAAGTACTAACAACTCCCGTGTTCCCTCCCTCCTTAACTCTTTCCTCTGTTGGCTGCTGTGGCACCACACCCTCCTGGTTTTCTTCCAATCGCCCTGGCTATTCTTTTTCCATCTTTCTCACAGGTTTCTCATTCTTCAGCCCATCTGTGTCAAGGTTCCCAGGTTCCATCCTTAGCCCACTTCCTGTTTCACTGCATGTCCTGCCCAGGAGTGATGGCATCCCCTGGCAAGTTTCTAAGCTCCACCGACAGCCTCATGATCCCCAGATTTTCACTCCTAACCTTTCCTGAGTTTTTGTTTCAAATATCCTGATATATCACACCCCCTGAATAGACACCTCAACTTCAGCATGTCCAAAACCAAACTCACGTTCCCCACCCCAAACTCACTTCCCCTCTTTACTCTGAACCTGCTGCTGGCACCACCATCACCCAAGCCTGGAATTCTTCGATCTGCACATCTAAGAAATGACCAAATCCTAATTCATGTCCTCAATAACTCTCCAACCTGCCTTCTCTCTATACTCACTGCCACTGCTCTTGTTCTGGCCCAAATCCCCTCTAGCACAGACTCTGCCATAGTCACCTCCCTGCCTGCCTCCACTCACTCCTCTAATCCAATGGGCAACCTGTTACCCACCTCCAGCGAAAATCTCATCATGTCACTGCTCTGCTTGAAACTCTTCACTAGTTCCCACTGCTCCGTCAGACACAATTATTCTGTGCCTCATACTAGTTAAATATCTACTATTTACTGGAGCCTATGCTAAGTATGAGGAATGCTTGAAATGGCTACTGCCTTTTAAGGAATTTACCATCTATCTGAGAAGACAGACATATAAATAACCACTAATAACATGATGTAATAAGTCCTGTGATAGACACACCAACAGAGTACTACAGGAGCACAAGACTTAGGGGTAGGAACCACATCTTCCTAATCTTTGTATCTCCAATATCTGATACCAAGTTTGATTAACTAGAGAATTT